TCGGATTTATTCTTTTTACGATAATCGCATGTGTCTGCTATCGATGTTTTAGAATTTATCGTCAATCAAAAAAAGATATATCCAGTTCTGGCGGAAAGTAATGACGAACAGTTTTTTTTTTATACTTCACATTCAATTATAATAAAATTAAAAAACTTATTTTGATTGTGCCTTTGAGTAAGCGTTATGCCCCTAAAATATCAGTTCTTGATCGAGCTCTTTTCTGTGTTAATGTTCGTCTTATTGAGACGAATTTATTAGGTCCAAAATTATAAAATTCTGATCAATGGCTATTGAGAAAATAAGTTTTGAAAATTTTACAAACCTGCAAAAATGACTTGCTCATTTTTTTCAATTGTTATTATCTCGCTAGAAATCTAGCACTTTATTTATATATTTTGCTTCTATAAAAATGCTAGTATTGTAGTAAATTTACATAACAATCTCACCACCAGTATTTCTTAGAAATGTATTATAAATCAAATTCGTGATATGCTAACCGACCTTGCATTTCAGGCGGAAGCATCCCTTGCTGGTCGTGAGCTCTGAGCAACCTACCTTCTCACTAAGCAAGTAATACCTGTTAAAGATAATATAAAAAAGCATTAACAAATTTTTTCATCTACACTTTAGAATATCATGGACTTGTATAAGCTAAATAAATTAAACGCTAATTATCTAACTAACATGAAATATTCCTCCTGCAAATATTATATCTGATTTTATGAATTCAAACTCGCCAGTGATATAATATTATATTAGGAAAAAAAACGAATAAAAAAATGATTTCAAAAGTGCTCAAAATAGTTATTGATTTTAAGTTATATGCAAAGGCGAAGATTATCCGAATATAAATGCACTACCTGGATGGATGCAGGTGGATATGTTACCACAGAGATGATTACTTCTTAATTTCTAGATGCACTGTCTCGGGTAAAGTTGCATTACCAGGAAAATGGGTGGATGCACTACCACAGAGGTATTTACTTTTTATTTTTTTTATGATTTTTAGATTCACTGCCCCAGGTGCGTTACCACGAAACGGATGCATTACCACGAAGGCGTATGCACTATCACGGAGGTGATTTCTTTTTTTTTTAGATATACTACCCGGAAAGAAAAGAATAATGGGACAAAATCAACAGCAAAACAACGACTCCAGTTTTACTTTAAAAAAGAAGCAAATAGGCAGAGAAGAAACTTCCAAGAAAAAAAACTAAAGAATCAACTCGCAAAACATCTCTCAGAACGAGTGTAAATAGAACTAGCAAAAAAGAAATGTATATATATACTACAAGCAAGAAAAGTTAACGGAAAGAATAACGGGACAACAACCACTCCAGTTTAACTTTGAAAGTAAATAAAGTCAAAGAAGAAACTTTGAAGCAAAGAAACAACTCGCGAATAGTGCTAGCGCTAGCAAGAAAGAAGTGTGTGAAGATACGGTCATGTAACAAAAGAAAGATAAGTAATGAAAGAAAGATTGATAACATGACTGCAAATGGAACATGACTATATAACAAAAGAAAAATTAGTAATATAATTGCATAATAGAACACAGATATATAATAAAGAAGGAAGTTGAAAATACAGTCACATAACAAAAGAAAGATTGATAACAAAAGAAAAAAGTTGAGAGCATTGTTAATATATTATATAATAGAACATAGCTATATAAAAAAAAAAAGTTTCTCTTTATTTATATATATATATTAAAATAAGATTAGTTCACTTATAATTCAAAATAGTGCAAGATGATACAATTAGAATTCTTTTTGATTTTAAGTGAGTATTTGTATAAATATTTAATCATTTAAGAATTGTAAATGATCAAAGATAAGTGAATTTTATTTCTTAAAATAATTATAATTATTCAATATAATTTTTATTTTCATCTATTTTTTTCTTATAAGCTAATAATTTTTTAGCATTCTGTATATTTGAATAGTGTTATTGTTATAACATGTTATATATTATTTAGTTATTTGTTAATATACTAGGACAAAAGATTAATTAAATAAGCATAATATTAAAAAGTTCAATATTTATCTAAGATAATAATATTTCTCTTACATGATGATAGTATTTAACAAAGAATAATAATTATTATGAATCTAATTAATTTTTATTTAAGAAATTTTAATTAATTCTTTATTATAATTAGATTTATATTATAATATATACTTAATATAGATTATTTTATTAAGATTTAGCATGTATTCTATTTTTATATTTTAATTATTTTTTTATATATTTAATTTTTTTGTGTTATATTAGTATTATTTTGTACTATATTGCATAATAGCAAAAAAGTATTTTAGTATGTGTTAGTATCAGATTTAAATATGTAATACTTGACAAATTAGAGTAATATTGTGTATTACTTGTAATATATAAGAATGTATTAGATTTTTATTGATTCTTTTTGAGATAGAGATAAAAATAGATATATAAGTATTATATATCTTAGCTTAGAATTATTATTCACTTGATTATTAATTTATTAATTGATCAAATATTCTTAAATAATATCAAATAAAAATTGGTTATGATTTATATTATTTTGATCTTTTAATTATATATTTTAACAAAAAAAACTATTATTCATATTTTATTTATTATTTGCATTATTTATTATTTATTATTTGTATTATTATTTATTATTTGTATTATTATTTATTATTTGTATTATTATTTTTAAAAAATACCAGGAAAATATTAGTTTATTTTGATTTTTGTGTTGTTAATCTAAAAAAAATAACATTTATATTAATTTTTATATTTATATTTGTATTTTTATATAGCTATCATTAACTAATACTTTAGAAAAGCTTTAATAACTATTATATTTATATTTATATAAATTATTATTACTAATACTTCAGAAAAATTTAATAATTATTTATTTTAATTTTGTTAATTTTTTGTTAAAATTATATTCAACTTCATTATTTTATTATTTGATATTTAAATTATAAGTTTTAATAGTTTAGTAGTTTGATCTTTCATACAAATATAATTACTTGTTATTTTTCAAAAATATTATTTTAAGTAATGACTCTGAAAATATTAATAATAGAAACTACTAAGATTTGTAGGAATAAATATAAAAATATTTTTTTACAATATTCATAAAATACTTTTTCACTATTTTAAATAATTTTATTTTATATATTTTACATTTCACTAAAAAAAAATGCAAAAATATTTAGTTTATAAACTCATTTATTGGAATAAGAATACATAAATATATATAAAATATGGAATTTTTCTTGTATAATAAATAATATTATTAACAAAATTTAAAATTTTTAATTCAATAAAAAGAAACATTTATAATTTACATATAAATATTATTATTCTAGTTCTTTTAACAGTATTTATATAGCAGAAGATCTTTAACGGGTCTCTTCTTACAGTTATAAGTGGAGATAGTGGATCAAGTTAAGTTTATTATTAAGAAAGTTATACGTTATAATTATGATGAGTTCAAGATAGTTTTATTAACAAAGCTTCTTTATTACTATACTTTTCACTATTGCTGCCTCTGTTGGCACTCTGCACATAGACTATACAAGTATATAATACAAGAATAACAATATTATATAGACTATTCCAAGTCTATAATCAAAACTATACTAAAAATCAAAGGGTAATTATAAGGTATGTGATAAGTAAATTCGTTATTAAGAACTTGTTAAATTATAACTTATTGATTAACTTGTATAAGATATGATCTAATTAATTTATAAGATGATATTCTTATATATTTACTATCAAGTGGAATGCTACTTATATATAAAATTGATTGTTACAAAGATCTCTAAATATCCATAATACTAAACAAGCAAAATCTCTATAGTTCTAAAGATCAATGCTTCAAAATATCAACAGTTCAATATCTCTAATAATCAACAGTTCAAAATATCAAATATTTAATATATCTGTCATATTGATGTACAGTACATGTACACAATAAGTCCAAAAATAACTAACCAATAAAAATAAAAATAGATATTATTCAATATACTATACGAAATGTCCAATAAAAATAAACTAATAAATTATCCAATAAAATATAACAAACAAAATAAACTATAACAATATAATTAATTTCTCGTCATTACTCTGCAAAGTTGATTAATATTATTTAGATTTATAATAAAGAAGAAGATAATTTTAATAAAAGTTAATCAATAAAAGAAGATTACTTAATAATTAAATTACTTGAATCAAAAGAAGGTTTCTGAACTCATTTTAGCAGTTCAACAAAATGAACATATCATTACTTATCTTTATTAAATTAGTCTCTCCCAATTTTAATTATTTTAAAAACATATAAAAGCCTTTAATAACTCTTTCACTTAATTGAAACATGTAAAGAATACATTATCTATATTTGAAAGTTAATAAACTAATGGAAACGGTAACAATATTTATATTCTAACACTTTATTCAATTTAATAACTAATTATTTAGCACTCAAATACTTATTTAATAAATCAAATCCACCTGGTCATTTAGCAAGATGGATAATGATATTACATGATTATAATTTATTATAAGTAATTTATCTTTCAAGATCAAAAATCAATATAAGTATAATTTTACAAGTTATCTGAAGTTTCTATCAAACAAAAAACTTTTTGAATTATTAAATTACTTTTAATCTAAACTAATATATATAATATATTTATATATTATATAATATAACTAGTTTTATTATTGTTATTACTAATTTAATTAAACACAAATATTAATAATATTCCTGATATTAATATAAATATTGTTATGATATGAATATTTAGTTCTTATTTTATTGATTAATTCATATCATAAATTTAATTGGATGATATTTTA